CTGGAAAGAGAGGGAGAGAGAGTGAGAGAGGGGGAGAGATAGGGAGAGGGGGGGGGAGAGAGAGGGAGAGAGAGAGGGGGGGAGAGGGAGGGGGAGGGAGAGGGGAGAGGGAGGGGGAGAGAGAGGGATAGGGGGGGGAGAGAGGGAGAGGGAGGGGGGAGGGAGGGGGAGGGAGAGGAGGGAGGGGGAGAGAGAGACGGAGAGGGGGAGAGGAAGGGAGAGGAAGGGGGAGAGAGAGGGAGAGAGAGAGACAGAGTTAGATAGGTAAATAGAGAGAGAGGGAGGGAGGGAGAGAGAGAGAGAGAGAGATTGAAAGAGAGAGAGGGGAGGGAGAGAGAGAGTGAGAGGGGGAGAGAGAGGGAGGGATAGAGAGAGGGAGAGAGAGAGGGAGGGAGGGGGGGAGGGAGGGGGAGGGGGAAGGAAGGGAGGGAGGGGGAGAGAGAGTGAGAGAGGGGGGAGGGGAGAGGGAAACAGAGGGGGGGATAGGGAGAGAGAGAGAGAGAGAGAGAGAGAGAGAGAGAGAGAGAGAGAGAGAGAGAGAGAGAGAGATGGGTTGGGGGTTAGTATGTATGAAAGAAAGAGAGAGAGAGACAGACAGAGAAATATATGTAAACATGTGAAGAAAATATGATGTAATGCAATCAATATTATGCAATCATTATGTTGTGAAATATTATGAAAATCAAAACGAGAGAGAAAAAAAGAAAAAAAAAGAGAACGAGAGACTGGACATAAAGAGGAGGGAGGGAGGGAGGGAGAGAGAGAGAGAGAGAGAGAGAGAGAGAGAGAGAGAGAGAGAGAGAGAGAGAGAGAGCGAGAGAGAGAGAGAGAGAGAGAAAGAGAGAGAGAGAGAGAGAGAGAGAGAGAGAGAGAGAGGAGAGAGAGAGAGAGGAGAGAGAGAGAGAGAGAGAGAGAGAGAGAGAGAGAGAGGAGATATATATATATATAGAGAGAGAAAGAGAGAGAGAAAGAGAGAGGAGATATAGAGAAAGAGAGAGGAGAGAGAAAAAAAAGAGAAAGAGAGAGAGAAAGAAAGAGAGAAAGAAAGAGAAGAAAGAAAGAGAAAGAGAGAGAGAGAAGAAAGAGAAAGAGAGAGAATTAATCACACTGTCATTTATCCCATTCCACCCTAATGAAATCTCTAATTACCCCCTAATTACTCTAATGTGTCTCTAATCAAACGCTAATGACACTTAACGCCATGTTTACACCCAAATTACTCTAATGACATTCTAATTAGCCCCAAGTACTCTAATGAAGCTCCAGTACATAACATCATGACGATGTAATTACTACTTACTCTCACTATATTTACTTATTAATGACCTCATTAATTACTAATTCTCTTCGCTAAATGCTAATTACTCTCGCTAATACTTACCAATACTCCCCCCCCCCCCCCCCCCCCCCCCCCCCCCCCCCCCCCCCCCCCACTGATTACTTTACTACTCTCACTAATTACTTAATTATGACTCTCACTAACTACTGATTACTATACTTGTTACTTATTACTTGCTATTTACACTCACTAATCCCATGTGTCTCACTTATTACTTCACTATATCCTAAATATCACTTGTTTATTGCTTGATTTACTCTATTGATTGCTCTAATGACTCACGATCTCATTTAGCTTAAATTACTTCATCGATTCTCCAGTGACTAATACTGACGAGCCTGTATTAAGAGCTAATTATGAGGTATATTAATATAATGATATTTAGGTTCGAGCGTTTATGTCTAATGTCTGATGGACATGATTGAATCAGTAATTTATATTCGATGATTATTAACTACTCATTTGGGTCGATCATGAAATATTTAATGACTAGCTAACTGATAATTAATAGCTAATTAATAGATAATTATGAGATGATAATTATCATCTGTAATTGGATTATGTAATGATGATGTGTATAATCAAAGTCGAATAATTAATATTTAATGACTGATGACATGATGTGAATCAGAAATTAATATTATGACTGATGACTTGGGGTGTATCAATATATGTTTAATTAATGTCTGGGGGGACATAATTAGAATCAGTGATTATATTTTTAATGACTGTGGACATAATTAGTTCCTGTGATAATATTTTATTGACTGATGTTATAATTATATTAAGGACTGATGACATGATTAGATCATGATTTTATAATGGCTGTTGACTGGATAATTAAGAATATTTATAATCATTTATTGTAGAATGATTAATATCTGTAATTAGAATCAGAACAATATCTAATGATGAAAGATTAGAATCCGTAATTTTAAGCGATGATTATTAAATGATCATTGGGTCGATAATTAGATGTTTAATGATAGTAATGATAAATCAATAGATAATATATTGATGATTAATATCTGATAATTAAATCAGTAATTAGGTATTTAAGGACTGGTTAAATGATAATTAAAATAATGAAATTTGAGAAATAATGTATATAAATGGCTATTGAAATAAATAATTAATTAATAATAATTAATATTTGGTGGACTATCAATATTATTTTGAGTCAGTATTTAATATTTATTGACTGAGACATGATTAGAATAACTTATTAATATCAAATGACCTGTTGACGTAATGATTAGAATCAGTAATTAATATTTATTACTGATAATTAATAGATAATTTATTCAGGTGGTTATATCTAATAATTACGAATCGATAAATAAAAATTATGTAATGATTGATTTAACTGATAATTAAGAGATTTAATGATATTCAATATAACTAATCACGGATAACTAAAATCAATAATTAATATTTAATGACTGATGATAATACTAATGGTTTTATATTCTGGTAGCTGAGACGTTGATAGGGATGGTAATGATTAAAATAGAAGGAGCATGAAGATAATAATGAAAGGATGTAAGATAAAGTTAATGATAAAGTGATTAACGATGATAATGAAAGGATAATGATTATAATGATTAGTATAAATAATTAATAATGATAATGATTTGATAATGGATTAATAATTTTGATAATGATACTAATAATAATAATAACTTTCATTATTAATTATTATCATTATTAGGACAAAAGAAATTATTTTAAACAATGCTGATAATATATTATGATAATAATAACAATTGTAGTCATAGTTATTATATTAGTGAAAAATAATAACAATAATAATAATATTAACAGTGATGATTTATGTTATAAAAAATTAGTAAATAAAAGAATAGATTTGCATAAAAATAATTGTGTGTGTGTGCATTATATATATATATATATATATGTATATTATATATATATTATGATATATATATGTATATATATATAAATTGAGCTGATCAAAAAAAAAAAATGAAAATAATAAATTTGCATAAAAATAATTGCCAAAAAGACTATATATATTTTATATTAATATACTATATATATTTATATATATATATATATATAAAGATTTATATATAGATATAATACACTGACTTACCAAATAAAAGATAATAGTAAATAAATAATGAATAAATTTGCATAAATATTATTTCCATAAAGAAACACACACACACACACACATGCACACTCACAATCACCGCACACACACGCACAACACACACAACACAACACACCACCACACAACACACACACGCATACACACAAGCACACGCACACACGCACACACACACAACACACACGCACACACACACACACAGACACACACACCACACACCACACACACCCCACACACACGCACACAGACACCTCACACATATCTTTTATATATAATTGACTTACCAAACATCACGTACTTCCCGTAGCCGCAAGAGGGCGTATCCCCCCTCCCCCCCTTCCGCCCCCCCAACGCAGTCCAGAAACGAAATCCACTCCCCGGGGCACAGCTAAGGGGGGGGGAGGGGGAGGGGAAGAGAGGGATAGGAGAGAGAAAAGAGAAGAGGAGAGAGAGAGAGAGAGGGAAGGGGGGGGAGAGGGAGGGAGAGTGGGAAAGGAGAGAGAGAGAGGGAGAGAGAATGAGGAGAGAGAGAAAGGAGAGAGAGAGAGGAGAGAGTGAATGGAGGAGAGAGAGGAGGGAAAGGACGAGAGAGAGTGAGGGAGAGGTGGAAGAGGGAGAGAGGGAATAGAGAGAGAGAGAGAGGAGAGAGAGAGGAGAGAGATAGAGGAGAGCAGAGGAACGATGAGAGTGTGATGAGTCGAGAGAGAGAGAGATGGATGAGAGAGAAAAAAAAGGGAGAGGGAAAGAGAGAGAGAGAAAACAAGGGGGAGAAAGGAAGGAAAGAAAGAGAGGAAGAGAGAGAGAAAAAAATATAATTTAGTAATTTTTTCATTTATTGTAATATATAGTAATGATAATGATAATAATGATTAAAATAACTCTTCATATGAATGATATTAATTATGGACAATGATAATAATAATGATAATAATAATAGTTATATAATTATAATGATAATGATAATTATAGTAATAATAACATATTAAACAATGATAATGAGTAATTGTAAATAACAATAATAATAGTATAAATAATAATAATGATGATAATAATTGTAATTCTAACAATTGCATAACAATAATATTAATAATAATATTAATGCTAATAATAATAATAACAATAATATAATAATGATAATAATAATAACAATAATTAATTATTATAATAATAATATTTACAGTAATTCTAACAATAAACGTTAATAACAATAATTAACATTGATAACCAAAAACTCGTAGATAATAATAAAACGAAAATAATGAATAAATTAAATAAAAGCCAAAACCACAACATTTCTTACTTTTTGACTTCGGTTGAAATGTCTGCTGTTCTGTCGGACAAAATGGGTCACAGAATTTTTGATTTGCTCCCGTTTCCCCTCGGAAGCCACGCCCACCACCGTGACGTCACCGATTGCCTTTGACCAATGCGCAGATAGCTTGGCCCTGTGAGAGAGCGTGAATGTAAATTACCTAATTAAAAAGTTAGTATTAATGATGATGATGGTGATTATGATATATGTACCTA